CCTGCCATTTTTATTTGTTTACCCGACCTGTCTTTCCCCCCAACTTATTTTCTCCATTTTTTCCCTCTGTCTTGCCTTTTTCTTTTTTTTGTTTTCATTTCACATTTTGTAGCTCTAACAGTCTCTCTCTCTCTCACACACTTGAACGGAGGCAAGCGATGAGCGGCAATCGGCGATAGTAGTGGCTAGTGACGATCGGCGAATTAGTGACAATGGTAGCAAGCAGCGATCGAAGCATCGATTCGAAGGTATTCTTCTTTTCTTCTCTTCTCTTCTCTTTTCTTCTTCTTTTCGATGGATCTTCTCTTCTTTAACTTTTGTTCTGTAAGTGTGTTCGAAGCATTGATTCAAAGGGGGGTTTTTTTTTTTTTTTATATCAAAATGCAATTTACAGTTTTTTTTTATAGTTTTGATTAGGGCTTCGACTTCTTTTTTTTTTTTTTTTCCTTTAAAATATCAAAATGCAATTAGGGCTTCAAATTTTTTTTTTCTAGTAATTTATAGTTTTGATTTTATTTTATTAAAATGCAATGAAATGTGTCATATAATATATATCTATGATTGTGATTTTGAGTTTGAACCATTGAAAATGTGATGTTTTGTTTGAGTAAATGAAATGTTTTGTTTTTTCAGTAATTAGGGCTTTTGTGACTGTGTTCTGCATAATCTCAACTTGTGTTTTGTAACTGTGATTTTGAGTTTGAACCATTGAAGATTTTATTGGATTTTGAAGTCAACAATATATCTGTCATGTTTAATATATTGGATTTTAAAGCCAACAACATATCTGTCATTTGAGTAAATGGGATGTTTTGTTTTTTTAGTAATTAGGGCTTCTCAACCTGTGTTCTGGATAATCTCAATCTCTGTTCAGTGATTGTGTTTTGTGACTATATAGGATGACCTATTTTGAATGATTTTTGTTATTTTTGATAGTTTATTTCACAAACGTTTGGTTATGGATCCTCCAAGCAAATAAACATTTTTTGTGAGTTCTAATGTTGAGCCTGAATCATCTTCTATTGCCACCTCCTCTACCCAACCTAACGCTCCCCCTCCTAAACCACCCCTGGCCAAAAGTAATAGTAGTGGGAGAACAACATCAAAGGCTTGAGATCATTTTGAAAAGATTAAGGGTATTGATAAGAAAGGTAGGGCTATGTGCAAATACTGTAAGAAAAAATATATTACAGGATCTAAGAGTCATGGAACAAGTAATTTGTTAAGTCATTTGAAATTTGTACAAAGCGTCCTTATATGGATACTCAGGGGCAATAAACATTGGGATTTAAACCTAGAGAAATTGGTGAGGAGGGTTTTGTTGATGTTGTGGCTATGTCATTTTCTATAGAAGTTGCTAGGAGGTATCTTGCCGAGATGATAGTAATTGATGAATTGCCCTTTAAATTTGTCGACGGGATTGGTTTTAAGAGGTTTTGTAATGTCATGCAACCCAAGTTCAAGATCCCATTTTGATATACTGTTGCTAGGGATATTGTAGACATATACACTAATTAAAGGGAGAGGTTGAAGAAAATTGTAAAGGGGAGTATAATTTGTTTTAACACAGACACATGGACTTCCATACAAAATTTGTGTTATGTGTCTAACAACGCATTTCATTGATGATGATTGGAAGTTATAAAAGATGATCATAAATTTTTGTCAAGTTGAAGACCACAAAGGAGAAACTCTTGGTAAAAAAATTGAAGCACTCTTAAAATAGTGGGACATTGATGGCTTTTTTACCTTAACTGTTGATAATGCGAGTTTCAATAATCTAACCATTAGATTCTTGAAACGAACCACAAAACTATAGAAGGGAACTATCTTGGGCCATGAATTTTTATAGATGCATTGTTGTGCGCATATTCTAAATCTCATTATTAGTGTTGGATTGAAGGATCTTAAGTCTTGTATAGCGAATATGAGGCATGCAATAAGGTATGTGAGGTCTTCTCCAAACTGCCTTGACACTTATAAAAAGTATGTGAAAAGTTTGAAGATTGAGAGTAAGAGTCTTGTGCCTAGATATAAGGTCCCGGTGTCCCACATCGGGAATGGAGGGGGAGTTCTTGGGTTATAAGAGTAAAAATCTAGACCCTTATATAGCATCGAGGCTTTTTTCGGGTGGTGAAATTCCTAGCAGAACTCCCTAGTTAAGCATGTTTAGTCTGGAATAGTTCTGGAATGGGTGACCAGCTGGGAAGAACAAATCCGTGAGGCAGGCCCAAAGCGGACAATATCGATGACATGTGAAGGGGCATTATACTAAATGTGCCAATATGGTAGAATTCCGCATATCTTATGTTGGAAGCGGCGAAAAAATTTGAGAGTGCTTTTCAAAGAATGGATGAGGAGGACTACAATTATAAACACTACTTTTTGGATAATGAAAGGGGTGAGAGGAGAGAGATACCTACAGTTGAGGATTGAGATAATTGTAGGGTCTTTTTGAAATTTCTTAAAATGTTCTATAATGCAACAAAGAGATTTTCTAGGTCTTTATTTGTTACTTCAAATACATTCTATACTGAAATTTTTGTCATTGAAAATATAATTGGACGATTAATCAAAGACAATGATCCTATTTTGTTTTCAATGGCAAATAAAATGAAAGAGAAGTTTGACAAGTATTGAGGAAATGAGGATAAAATCAATCTCCTTTTGTATGTTGTGGTTGTGCTTGATCCTCGAAGAAAAATGACATACTTGTAATTTTGTTTTTCAATAATTTTTTGTGGAGATGTGGTGAAAGTGAAAGAAATGTTAGACAAGGTAAAAAATTGTTTGAGTCAATGTATGATCATTATATCACGCTTGATTCAACAAATGTGCATGTCTCCAATGTAAATGAAACAGTAGAAATGGTGATAGATGAAAATGACCCACACTCTATTGTGAACTCTCAATTTAACTCATTTTTTGATGGACAATTTTCTAGTAGTGGGAGTACATTGGAATTTGACAAGTACTTGGGTGATATTGAGAAAGGTGGGAAGAATGCTCAATTTGACATATTGGAGTGGTGGAAGGTTAATGCAACAAAGTATAGAGTATTATCACTTATAGCACGAGATGTGTTGGTAATGCCTGTTTTCACTGTTGTTTTTGAGTCGGCTTTTAGTATAGGAGGTCGTATACTTGATCCATTTCGTAGTTCACTTGCTCCCAAGATGGTGGAGGTTCTTGTTTGTACACAAAATTGGCTTCGAAGTAACATTCCAATATGCCTTTGACAAGCAATGGATGATATTGAAAAATTTGAACAACAATATGATTCGGATAATATATACAATGATTTATTTTGTTTTAAATTTCATTTATTTTGTATTATTAAAAATTCATTATCTTCACTTCACATGTTTTTGTTGTGTTATATTTTATGTGTAATTGTTTCGGAATCAAGTTTATGTTCAAGCCCAAGTACGGAGAGTAGTTTTATTGAAGTTTAATATCATTGGTAAAATACTTCTCATTTGTTAAATGTTGTTAATATATGTTTATTTGTTTTAAGTTTAAGACTTTTTAGTGTTTCCTTATTAAATAATTTCATTTTTTTGTTATACAAGTTTAGATGGCTCATGGTTTGGCTCAAGGAAATGAATGACTTTTTTGTTTCTTTTTAAGTTATTTTCAAAATATGATTATTGGTTGAAACTTTCTTTCTTTGGATGATTATAACACTTTATTTTGGATGACTGTAATACTTTATTTTTAATTTTCTTTCTTTCTTTGGATGACTGTAATACTTCATCTTTGTTAAATACTTTGGTTTGTTGTAATACATTTGACAGTGCATAATTGAATTATGGCTATGTTGTTTTTTTGAGTAAGTGCACAATTGAATTATGTTGAAAATTGAAATATGCCCAGGTTACTTTTTTAGGAAGTGTACAATTGAATTATGTTGAAAATTTGTAAAATTTGAAACTGCCAAACCGATTTGTATCCATCCGCTAATCTGTCAATTCGCTCTATCTGCATCCGCCGGATTAACGGACGGATGCAGATTGATTTTATCTAATCCGTCAATCTGACAAACGGATAGCAGATTAAAGGTTCCATGGTTGGAACCAATCTGTTTCCACCTCTAACGATATGCTCATGCTTACAATCAAATGAAAGGAAAAATATTTTGACAATAATAGCTTAAAGTTTCGCTTGTTAGGTATTGTTTGGTGGTTGGTGCTTATATAGCTTCTTTTTTCTTCTCCTCTTCTTCTTCTTCTTTTTCTGGTTGGTTGAATTTTTAGAATTTATTTATGAAATTTTAAAAAAAGATTACAAATTAGTTTGACAAAAATAAAAATAAAAAATTTAATTTTAAATTTAAATTTTCTAAAATTATTTTCATCCCTAAGGAAAAAAAAAGAAGAGAAAACCATGCAAGAGTAATGAGTTTTTATAATTTATAATTTATTTTTTATTTTTTCACCAATCTAGTTTTTGAAAAATTTTCAAAAATAAATTCTGAAAACTTGCCTAGAATTTGTATCTCAAAAGTATTTCGAAAGTGACAAATATTATATAAATTTAAAATTCGTGTTATGTGCGCCACTAAAAAATGAATGTAATTGATTGATACATTTTTCTAAATAAGTCAAAAGGGCCAAATTTTCTCCAACAAAAAGTTTACTCCAATTAAAAAGTATTGAAAAAACTAATTTATTCTCACAAAATAACTTTGCCCAAAAAAAAAAAAGAGTAGTTCGTTAAACACATCAAATTTATTTTATTTTTATCAAATGATTTTTCAAAAAACGACAACAAACATTGCTAAAAACCATTAGTCAATTTTTTTTTTTTTTAAGTTGCAAAAAGTATATAATTTTTTTTATCAGAATTCTATTTTGAATAGAAACAAACAGAGCATATAGGAGATCATAGTAATTTTAACAAGTTTTGACATCCATATATACCATTTTGGTACCTTAAATTATCCAAATCCGTTGGATCATATTCCAGTAATAACGACTGCATTGTTGGCGGGAATTGACGGCTATTAATATACCTACCAAATTATATATATATATATATATATATCAATTCTAGGGCATGAATCAGCTCGACGATCCAATTCCCAGGTTCCTCTCTCTCACTCTCTCTAGACTTCTTTCTCTCTCTCTCTTCTAGGGCTTGAATCATGAAATCAATTAAAATTACTTCTCTTTAAGTTTGAAATTTCCAAGTATTTTCTCATTAATTTGGAATTATACTTTGTGTTTTGTTGTGCCTTTGTGTGTGTGTTTGTATCATGTTTGATTGGATTTTGAATGGATGTGATGAAACATAGACTTGTAAATGCTAGAATGGAATTAAAATTTACTTCCCTAAAAAATTGTATGGATTTACTGTAAGAAAATTGATGAAATGCAAGTTTTCTGAATCATGTTAGATGACTGATTTGAAGGTAATGATATGAGATCATTTTACTTGATTCATTCTTATATTAAGAGCTCAATTGATGTTCTTGGTTTCTAGCAATTGTTTCTGATTATCGAGTGGTTGGTTTTTTAACTTATTTAGACTACATTTGTTGGCCGAGAAATGGTTTTGATTTGGAACCCGTTATGTTGATCTTAAAAAACTGTCTTTTCTGTGGAAATGTCATTGTGGATTTGAGGGGTTGAAATCTAAATTCAATTCCTGATTTATTTTCATATCAAACAACCAATCATTTGGATTTTTTTATTTTTATTTTTTCATTATACTTTTTGCCAAACTTGTGTGTTGCACCAAATGTTGTAATTGGAAATTGAAATTAGAACAGGAACTAGGCCCCTAATTTTTAATATCACTACCCCAACACCTTTGAAGCAAATGGAGCACTTGTGTTGTGTCTTTTTATACACAATGGTTACTGTGTATTCCATTTTTTTTTTATATATATATTATAAAACTCAACTCTTTAACAAACCCATTACCCCAATTTTATATTCAGGTGAACTTGAGGCCATCATGTCCCATACCTAAGTCTCCGCTAGGGTCCTTATTTTCTTTTTTGAGTATTAATGGTTGACTTCTTTGCTACAACTAGAGTATGAGAGTGGTTTGTGTTCTGTCGAACTTTTGTTGAATTTGTTTTGTGTTTTAGTTACTGTTGGTCAAGTTCATTTCTAGAGTCCCGAAAATTGTAGTCTATTTGTATTGTTTAGTTGTGGTGTTTTGACCGGAACATGACTGCAGGCATTTTCCATGGATGCAACAAGCAACTCAGAAACTCCAAAGGATACACTATACGACGAGATTAACACTTTCTTTGAATCAGCACCTCCTCTAAAAGATGGCCCTGATATCAGTAGAAAATTAAAGGAATTTATTGAGAGGAATTCTCAGTCAACAGGCAAGTTTATTTCTAATCAGCCGTTATTTCCCTCATAACTGCTTTGTCCTTTTCTGTAATATTTTTTGTCTGATGTAAGAGTTGTTTAGGTTGATCGGTTTAAAATCTATTTTCAGGAGGCAGAGGAGCTAGCAGGGTTGTGTGTGTTACATCTGGTGGGACAACAGTTCCTTTGGAGAAACGATGCGTACGTTATATTGATAATTTTAGCTCAGGTCATAGAGGAGCAGCATCCACAGAGTAACCACCCTGTATCTTATGTGATATGTGTTATTTGGTATTCTAAGCTTAACTCATGTTATGACTAGGTGGATTTTATGATCAAAATTACAGGTATTTTTTGAAGGCTGGATATTCCGTAATCTTTCTCTCCCGTAGGTAAATACTATGCTTGGGTTGAGTGGTCAAGTTCCCTTTTGTTTAACATCGTTTAATGAGTACTTCTAACTATAAATGGGGGGAAATTTCTGTTCCTCCCCTGTTTCTTCTTCCATTCACCTAGTAATATTTACTTGGTCCATGGGAATATCTTTTATACATTTTTGTTAGATAGTGGATAATGATGCATTTAGGGCTATTTATGCAGGGGAACTTGCCAGCCGTTTTGTAGATCTCTTCCAGAAGATCCATTGCTTGACTGTTTTGAGGTTAGCAAGGAGCTAAATGTTCGAGGTTTGTTGTTTCATATGGGTTTTTTTTTTTTTGTTATTATAATATGTGTTTACAAAAACGCGACCAATGGGTTGTAACCTCTGTATACCGTAGCACTATTTTCGTAGTTTGACACCATGTAGACCGATTTAGTGGATAATGATGTATTTAGGGCTATTTATGCAGGGGAACTTGCCAGCCATTTTGTAGATCTCTTCCAGAAGATCCATTGCTTGAATGTTTTGAGGTCAGCAAGGAGCTAAATGTTCGAGGTTTGTTGTTTCATATGGGTTTTTTTTTTTTTTTTTTTGTTATTATAATGTGTTTACAAAAAAGCGACCAATGGGTTGTAACCTCTGTATACCGTAGCACTATTTTCATAGTTTGACACCATGTAGACCGATTACCTTTGCTTCATGCTTTGAAGACATAGGAGGCTGTGTTGAATCCTGGAAGAAACCTTGATTTGATGTACTAAACTGAACTTGTCATGCAGGCCTGTCCTATAACATAGCTCCAATTCACGTCATTTTCCTGATTGGTAATGACAAAGTCTAGGATATCTTTCATGGATGGTTAAAAAATCTTGAGAGCCCAACTTGACATTTTTTGTCATGCATTACACAGGAGTTTCATTTTGAGATTGATATTTTTTCTCTTTTGTTTACCCCACTGGAGGGTGGGGAAAGGGGTTTGATGTTACTGAAATTGTTTATTGGTAGCTTCGTTATAGCAGTATTTTTCAGGGTTTCTCAAAATATTTATGATCAATTTGATTATGGTTGTAATATAAACAATTTTTGTTTCACATTTCAGTATGCCAGTCACATTCTGAAGCTGTGAGGACGGCCATTGGTGAACATTGTGCTGTATGGATCATAACTATGCATATTTAATGTTGCTAATGCATTGGAATTATGTTAGCTTGGTAAATGATGAGCCACTAAGAGATTTCATTTTCTTCCAGGCAGTAGAGGGAGGACTCCTGTTGAAACTTCCCTTCACTACCATATTCGAGTATCTTCAGGTTAACTTCATTTGCTTATTTTACATGTTTCTCTGAATTCTGACTGATGGGCTGATTGGCACTCCAGTAGTTTCATTTGATGCTTCACTTTGTCCATATAAATTTAATAAAATCACAGCAATATGGAAATAAGATGCAAAAACTATAAAATGCTTCACCCAACATAACGATAATTTAAAACTTAGCTGGAGCATGGAATGCCTGCTAAGATAAAACGGGTTTTATGAAATGTAGGGGTTATTTGAGATGATCTAAATAAGTGTATTTTTTAACTTTTTACGAAAAGATATGCAAAAACGTAAAGAGGTGATGTGACCTAAAAAAGATAAAAAGTATGCTTTTCTAGCCTAGAGTTACTTGCCATGTATGTTTCCATTGACACAACTTATCAGTGCTCTTCCGTTGAAATTAGGTTGTGATGTTCTGCCAATCTATATAAATATTTGTAATTACTATCCAACCCTTTCAAATGAGTAACAAGGTTTGTACACTATAAGGGGGAGAAGAGCGAAAAATATGAACTTCAGGCATTCTTACCGTCATAATTTTGTTCCTGACAGATAGTTTCATTTGTTAAATTTGTAGGTGCAGTGATCATTATTCATTTAATTGGATTGGGTCATTAGACTTTCTAATTTCCCATACTTGCCAAAAAAAAGATTCCATTTCCCGTACAACAGATGACCAGAAATCTAATACAGTCGAGCAGTAAGGAGGATCTTGCATTTAGTTTTATTTCATATTCCTGTGGAGCTGAAGAACTCCTACACTACCAAATGAATTGTCTTGGATGATCAACTAAGATGAACTACTCACTACCATTAACTTCAGGAATTGTAGAATTCCTTTGGTCCTCAGCATTCTTAAGAGTCACAAGCACCTTGATTCAATTGATTATTTGTTCTCTTGATGCAAATAACAAGTGCTTGAACAGGGATTTCATCTGTTTGATAACAATTCTCTCTTGTTCAATAGAAGTTCTGTAGTTTGTAGGTGATATCTTTGCAAGAAAAATGCCTGCTATGACTTCATGTTGTACAGCTGCTTATATATGGTTTTTACTTTCACCAAGTTTTCCCTTGAATTTTTGTTTCCATGTATGTATCACTAGCGGCGGGTGCACACGCGATGCATGTGCAGTGCATCTAGTTGAGGAATGAAGAAGATGAATAGTTGAAATTTTGAGGATCTGAATCAGTTTTTTCACATGGACAGTAAACTGTCATGGGCATTTTCGGAAAAGCAAAAATATGTGACATATACATCAAGTCTGGTGTAGGCTTTATATATTATAGGATAGATTATGAAAATATAATAGCCTACTTCTGTGCATGTTTTTTCAACTCGACATTTTATTTTTTTGGTGGATAACTTTAATTATAATATGCTTATTGCAGCCTAGCTTCTAACTCTCTGTACTGGCTGCTGCTTTACTTGATCCGTGAAATAATTTATCTGATATTTCTTCTCTGTATCATGAGCAGATTTTACAGTTGATTGCCATGTCCATGAAGAATCTTGGGACACACGCAATGTTTTATCTTGCAGCTGCAGTATCTGATTTTTATGTTCCATGGAAGAGCATGGTAATGATTTTACTTGGGTTTCCTTAATGAAAATTACTAGCTGATATAGAGAGATACATCCCATATCGTTCTTCATGAAACTGGAAAATCTAATTTAGCAACTCCAGTTCATGTTTTCCTATGCTTTTATAAATCATTGCATTTTTTGAAACAGGTAGAACATAAAATTCAGTCTTCATCTGGTCCTTTGGATATGCGACTGGTTCAAGTGCCAAAGATGCTCTCAGTGCTGAGGAAAGATTGGGCTCCCGTGGCCTTCTGCATATCGTTCAAGGTTAGATATTTATCTCCATTGTTTAGATGTTTTCATAGTGAAACCATACTGATGAAAATTTATGAAATGACAAGTACCATTGGGGCACCCATAATGACTTTAAAAAAATAAGTCAGTTTAAATCAACCATTTTTTTGAATTCTGACTATAACTTGCTGTTTTCTTCTCCTATTCTTCATAAAAGGTTCATTAAGCCCCATGCAATTTCAAGTATTTATAAGATATTTTAGTATTTTGGCCCCTTCTAAATTTATATAATTTTACTTCCAACTGTCACAAATTTCACAAAAACTTCATTAGCCCCATGTAACTTTGAATATTTATAAATATATATATATGGCATTTTGGCCAACAGAATTTATATAATTTTTACTTAGATGCCGCCAAAATTTAAATACTTTACCTTGGCCACCCCTTTACACAATTTCTAGGTCCACCACTGAGATTAACCCTAGGTAACGGGCATCTCCAGTTTTCATATGTTCTAAAAATTGTGTACAATTTGTTGACAATCACAATGAACTTTTAAATAGATCCAAGATAATGATTTCTTTAAGTAGGTCAATATAGGGACTTCTTATGAAAAATTAACACTCTGTTTGGTTTAATTTTAAGAATATGTTTTTTGAAAATTTTTGAAAAAAAAACTAAAAACTAATTTAGAAGTTTTTTGAGGTAAAACAAATTTTTAAGAGCTCAAAATTTTCATTCTGGTATTTATTTGTCAAACTAATTTTTATTTTTTCAGAATTTTCTTCTAAAACTGATCCTGAAATTGAAACCAAACATAGCTTAAGATTCTATATAATATATCTTGTTTCTTGGTACAACTTTGAGATGAGGGAAGGACTGGTGAAGATGCAATGTTTTTTTTTCTTTATCTTCAAATTTTTATAACATTCTGCTAAATATGAATATATAATGTATTTGCGAAAAAAAAGTTTAAAATTTTCTAGCACTTGCTTTAAGTTTTCTTTCATATGTAGATGCACTCTATATTTAACACATTTAGATAATCCTCTTTATTCTTCCCTCTCTTTTGTCCAACAGCTAGAGACAGATTCCAAGATTCTTCTAGAGAAGGCAGAAATAGCACTTAAAAAGTACAATATGCATGCAGTGGTTGCAAACGAGCTTTTAACACGTAAAGAGGTTGTTGTAGTCGTCACAAGTAGTGAAAAGATTTCAGTTCATCGAGACAAGACTGAAGCTAGTGCTGATGTGGAAAGTCCACTAATCGAACTCCTTGCGGAGAAACATTCATCTTACATTGAACATTTGGATTCTTGATTTCTAAGCCTACAGAATTGGATAGGTGTCGACAATCATCCATAGTTGTTCAAATAACGCTTAGGTCATGTTTGTTTGGGTAGACATGAGCTTGGGATTGGATTAATAGTCCAATAAAATTATTAATCCGATGTTTGGTTAAACAATTGAAGTAAGGACTAATTATTTTAAACTTGACTATTAGTAAAGATAGGATACATAATCCAACGGATTCGTAGTCTTAAGACTATTAGTCATGGGAATGTTAATCCAGTCCGTCCAAACAAATATGGCCTTAGTGTAATTTTTTTTTTCTTTTTTTCCGTTCTTTAATGAAAAGATTTTGAGAGATTGAAAAGCAATATTGTCGTATTTCTTCTTTTATGTTGAATAATTTTGGACTTCCTAGTCAAACAAAATTGAAAACTCATTATTACATGTATTGTAATACTTGTACCTTATGAAATAACTCTAATACCTTAGAGGAAATGTGGGTGTAGAGAAATGATAATTTCGACATGGGGTTCACATGATGGATGAGACGCTCTCTTATCAGAGGTGATATTTGAGTTTGAGTTTTACTGCATTGCTCTGCACCGACTCTCTCTTCTTTTTTTTTTAAATCTTTTTATTATATATTTTATAGTATTTACTATGCATCATCATTAAAAGATGTACCAATTTTTTCGAGTTAAACCCAAGTTTAAAGACACTAAAGTTATGTTTGGATTATGAATTTTGATAGAAATTTAGAAAGAGAAAAGAAAAAAGTAGGTGAAATATAATTATATTTTATTTATATTTCACTTACTTTTTCTTTTTGTCCTTTCTAAATTCCTATTTAAATTCATGGTCTAAACACAACATAACAGTGCAATGAAATTGTCTCAACCAACAAGTAAACTTGTGAAGAGCCATCACGACAATACACTATACAACACAGGAACTGAATGTTTAAAGTTCAAATTAATCTCCTCTTCATATTTACAAAGAAGCCACTTTCAAAATATTAAGCAGATTACAATGTAGTCTGTAAAATACGTGACAGCCTTAATATTGTGGTTTGTGGTTCCTACCATAGTAAACTAGGCGGGTTCAAGAGGACGAGCAGCCCAAAGCGAACTAAGAGTACGGAGTCGTTGAAAGTACTCTCCCAACGCAAGCAGGCCTCGAGCTGCTTGACGGGTTGTTAAGATGCGAGATATTTGATGCAGAGTTTGTTGGCGAAGGTGATCTGCCTGTTTGAGAAAAAAAAAAGCAACAAAGTAGTCGAGTGAATAATGATTATTTCGGGTGGAATTTTAGTCAGTTCTATGTTAAATGGAATATTATCTGTCTAAAAAGAATTCAAATCATCAATGTGAGAAATTTTTTGTCCTAATAGGCATAAGAGGAGATTAGTCGGTTCTGTTTCTGGAAATTAGTTCCGTGGTTACTTAAACAGACAGCAAGGGCCTGTAAATTGTTAATTCCCCTACAAGAAGTGAATTGGCGTAAGTCTGTTCAGCAACGTATTGAACCAAACTTGACGTAATATATCTGAAACTAACCAATCTAGTCTAGTAGATATTTCTAGCACAAGAGTATACAATAATTTTACTATCATCTATCCAACAGTCGGGTAATTATCAATTTTCGTGCTTGGCGGGCAATTCATCAATTTAATCATGAGACAATAAATAGTTCAGTCACTTTGTTCAAGCTTCCAGTCATTCAAAAATAAAAAGGGTGATATCAGATACTTAACACATTTCCTACTCATAACAGCAAATCCCCCACCAAGGTTACATGTTTTCCAAAATCAAACTTTTTTCAAAACTAAGCCTTTTTCCAGTGGATTTGGCTTTGGGTGACCTAATACACCCGAACTCCATGTTAGGCGGCGACTCTAAATTTTCAAAATTCAGGGCCTGAGTACCAGTTATAGAATATACTATTCCGCCCAATCATGACTTTCACGAAGTGACATAAGACTCATTCAAGCATGACTGGAACTACATTACATAGTCGTGATGCAGATGATACTGTTCCTCTCCAGATCGAGTAATAGAATCCACAAAAATTCTCAGTTCAGACTAAACAACGTGTGTTTGTCGACATAAAACAATTTCTCAAGGTGTCACGATGACTCAGCAATGCGGAGGAAAAAAACAGGGCACCTTTCTCTAAAATATTGTTTTCTAATCAAGTGCGAGGGAAAATGCTCAACTCAACAAAGAACGATTTTCAACTATTTGGCTTCAGCTACTACAGTCCACTTTCACCATTTTATTCTGTAAAGGGACTTACTTTCTATTACTTCCTATTACCAGTCCTGAGCATAGACAAAGGAGGCTAGAAAGGATGGTTGCCTTGGGCTTCAAGTTGAACCTAAATAAATTGAGGAACTATAGAAGCAAAATATTTGGATGAAGATGTTCATCATTTAATAAAGGAGAAGAAGAAGAAGAAGAAACTTCTGAATTTGTTCCCAAAACTCGTTCTTACACAATTAAGCACCACCGAGCTTGGGTGATAACCAACCTTTACAGTGAAAGCCAATAACTCAGTTTTCCTAATCTTTCTAACCAGATAACTGTAAACACGGCAAGAGATTATTGTCAAAAGGACATTGCCCAATATCACTTCCCATTAATTAAGGGTGTTAGGAAGAGCAGACTAGACTTGGATCTAATTTTGACATAATTGCACTAAGCGGGCTACTCTCAGACTCAAACATACACTCCCACACTTAGCATCCCGAGCTTGTGGTTCTACACTAAACAATGTCTCTTAGATGGAGACGATGGTCATGATATAAACATTCCTATCTCAGAACAGCAAAGAAATGAAAATATTCAGTAGTTGTCAATTCCATTTATTTCCTTTCCATTCACCCAAAAACATAAAACAAAATTACGAAGAAGAAAAATTAACAGGAACTCATAATAGTTAAAGTATGCCATATTACTTCATATTGAGAAGCTATGAAGCAAAGACACCTCTACAGAGGCCACGGACATGCAGCAAAAATGCTTCAGACACTTGTCGGACAAGCTGGAGGAATCGGACACGCTGGGGACACGCTGAGACACATATATTTATTTTTCACGAGAATAGCATACTCAAGGTTGATGAATTTGATGAAAATAAATATTTAATATAGAATAAATATAATATTAAAAAACATGACATATAAGTATATAAAATTATATATTTTGCATGTGTCCCCAGCATGTCATCTGCTGCCTTTTTCGAAAATTTGCACGTCCATTTGTCCGTGTCTGTGCTTCTTAGTTGAGAAGTGATAAATTACCTGGTTCACAAATCTCTCCAGTGCATCCAACATCTCCATTGCAGAAGCCATCTGAGAGCTATAAATTCCTGCATCAGTAGGTTCAGCTGTAATTCTCTGTGCCAATGTCTGATGAAGTCTATCCATTCCCTGCGTGAGAGCATCTTCAGCTTGCTGAGATGATTGCCGCAGGTTATTAACCAACATAAGTTGTCCATCAGTCAAGGGCTCAAGTTGCGGCATTAGTACCTGCGGAAACAAACTCAAACAGTAATTTCCCAATTCATGAATGGGAATGTACTATATAGTCCAGTAAAATTTTGAAAACAAGTCAAGGATATCTTAAATTTTGCAAGTCTACTGCATATTGGACCTAATTGGTGCAACTTTTCTCAAGCTGAAAATTGATAATCAAAATGCAAAAGCTAAAAGCATCTCTCCCCCAGCTTCTAGATAATCAGTTTTTTATATGTTTGCGACATCCCCATGCAATACTCTCGAAATCATGCCAATCTAATATACTTTCGCCCAGAAAATGGACAACATGAAAATTCATGTGCAAAAATTCTAATGCAGAGTGAATATACTGACAAGAAATTATCATATTTTTCTTTACAACCTATCATCACTGAAAAACCATGTTCATATGATTAGATGAATAATAAGTCATATAAATGACAATAAGCATGATAAGCAAAAACTAGCAGATGAGGAATATTTATTCTTTAAATACTCAGTTAAACTGAACTAAGCATTACATTTAGAAGCTCTGATGGGCGGAATCCTCCAAGCCAAAGAAAAAAGCGCTCAACCGATGTTCTCCATATGCCAGACATCAAATAGAAGACGTCAGCCTTTGCAGCATCTGCTTTCATACGGAAGAGATTGCCATAGTGGTTTAAGCCTTTTTCCACGAGTAAGTGGAGCTCTATATCACTTATATGAGCTTGCAACACCTCTCTTAGTTGAATATTCTGTCTTTGTTGCTCTTCAACCCAGTGTCCATATTCCATCTCAAATGTAGTAATACCTGCATATCCACAGTTAGGACCCTTGTTACTAAATCACGAATATATAATTTTTTATGTGTATATATATACACATATGAAAATACACAGAGTGTTTAAAATGAAGTAAATATCTCAATGTGTGTATAGGCATATACATATAAAATTACGTATATATTGATAATAAAGATTTCTTTTTTATTTCTTGATAGAGAGGTGAAACAATGTCATTTCATCCATTAAAAAAAGAAGAAGAATTGCAATGAATCGTAGTGATTCACATATTGAATCGCATGATTCACTCAATTTCTGATTTTAACAACACGATTTGAATTGTTTTGGTTGAAACTAGTATGAATCGAATCATGAATTATATGATTAACAGCCAAGGTTAGAACTATGGTCAAGAAAAAACCAAACTTAGGAATAAAACATTACCAGAGAAAAAGTAAACAAATACTATTGAAGGATTCCTTGAGAGTTAATATATATATATATATATAATGAAATAAAATCTAAGGAGCTAGGTAACATAGGTTTCGATCTTGGATTTCTGGAGAAAAGAAAAAAATGGAAAAGATTTGTGGAAAAAAAAAAAAAAACAGCAGCAGCAGAAGAAGAAGAAGAAGAAGAAAAAGCTTCTATTTCATTCATTTTCCCCTTCCCTTTACTTTTCCATTTACAAATCCAAAATCCAAGCACAACCTAATTGAAAATCAAAGGCAAAAAGAGAACAACCCGCACAACTTTGTTTTTGCACAAACGTTAGCCAAGCAAAAAACAAATTGAAGTTCAATAATAGAACAGCAGACCATCTAAGAGAGTAAGAAGATAAACAAGATACCTACAAAAAAGGAAGGAGAGAGAGAGAGAGAGAGACAGCACAAACCTGAGTTTACAGGTACAGACAAACCTATATGACCAATATTTAGCACACCCCCTATGTAAGCACCCTGCAATAAGCAATCCACTGATCCATTAGATAACTGAATTACAATGCTTGGTTAATAAGAAAATTAGCATAAGCAATTTACTCCTCACCTGCGGTGTATACCTCTCAAGTTCCAGCTGCAATTGGCTTAACTTCAATCGGCACGTTTCCAATTGTTGAACATAGGCCTATTAAAGAGATTTGAAAATTACTCAACAGATGACTCCTGAAAACTATAAACCTTTCATAAGCATGAACTTGTGGCTAGCTATGCATTTTTTATTACCTTTTTCCTCAACCGGCTTTTACGTGCAGCTTCACGATTTTGTGCTAGACGTCTTTGTACCTGCACAAGCAGCAATGACTAAAATTAATGCTCTGGATGACAAGTTTGTGTTGACTAGGAAGTGTGTTCTAATCACCTTATCGGGTGTTTTGTTCACTTGTTGATTGTTTCCTGAAGGGCCTTCTGACTCGTAAGTTGTATATTCCGACTATAGAATTCAAATTGGGAAAATCAGTATCAGAATAAATGGCCCCAAATTCAATAAACCAAGAGAGAAAAAACTATATGCAGCTTCACCTTGTTGCCGCCTAGACTAGCATCAACCTGTACAATTATAGAACTGGCCATGTTTGGGCTAATTTCACCTTTAAATGCGCTATCCCACATGCCAAACTGGTGGATTGGCTCGTACAAACCCATCCTGCCTGAAGTGGCAAATTGAGTCGACGAAGAGCTCATACTTTTATTCACTGATAAAAAGGCAAAAGTAGTAATTCAGCTGCAGCATCATACAAATTATGTAAATTGATTGTATCCAAAATCACATCAACCCATACTGACTGAACCAAGAAAAGCAGGGAAAGATAAGTAATTGATTGAGAGACAAACAAGAAAGTAAATCAAGAAATAGACCTAGACAAAACAGCAGAATTCTAGGCAAAGTTCACAAATGACCAGCTCTCTAATTATAACCATTACATTAGCTAATTTAAATATACAGAGCTAGAAGAAGCAAAAGAATTCCAAACAAAGTTGACAAATATGTTTGTAATTACAAAACTTCAAGTGTCATTTGCTACGGTAGTATTGGGAAGCACTTTTGTCGAAGATAAAAAGAAAAAATATGAAGAAAAATAAAAGAAAATTTAGCTCCTATAGTGAATTAAATGTGAAATAGAATGCTTATCCATTGAGATTTCATTACATGACCAACGGGTGAGGTCTCAACCCCGACACACCATGACAATTTTTGGTTTTCTCTAGGCTAATGAATCTAGTGAGGCAAAACCTTAATGATCTGTATTGTACAAATCTAGCAAGCTAAAATTATGGAAAGAAATCCTCTTATCTTAGCAAAATCAACAACCTGCCACCAAGCTAAGATATGCATATACATATATATGATCAATTACATGCCCAAGATGACTACTAACATGGAGCACATCCAGTTGACAGAGAGCTTGAACACAGTAAGTCCTGCCAAGAGAGTGGTAGTGTTGTGTTCTGCTTGTGGTACTAAGAATGTATGTGGATTACAGCTCAAAGGTAATAGACTCAGTATTTAATTAGTGACTTAAAAGGCTCACTTTAATGACTTGTAATTCCACTGAGGACTAAACACCAATAGTGCTAACAGGGACACAAGCTTAATCAACCATGAGTTTGAACAACATATGATAATTCTCGGAAGGGCAACCAATGAATCCTTAGGATACTACCAAATGAACCGAGCAAAACTCAGAAAAAACCTAAGAAATAAGGGAAAAAAGAAGAAGAAGAAGAAGAAGAAGAAGAAGAAGAGGAGTTCATGATTGAGCTGAAGTCATATCCATAAATAACCAAACCACAAACCAGAAATTCAATGGGTTAATTAAACCCTCTTAACAATTAGGGAATTATCACTTTACCCACATTTATGAATCTGTACATTTTAACCTTCAACTACACAAAAGCATCACTTTCACCCCTCCAGATGGAACAAAATGTAGGCTTTAATAGATGAGTAGATAAAATGAAATTTGCTAATGATTGAGGAGGCCTAATTAACCCAAATTCAATCACTACAAAATTAAAGAATACTAAGAACACGAGCAGAGGAAGAACTTGACGACCCAGAATCGAAACGAAACAAAGAAATAAATTTTGAAAACATTTTCTATATATATATATAGAGAGAGAGAGAGAGAGAGAGAGAGATGGATTGGAAAGAAGTATGATAGTGATATAGTAGTGATATATGAATCAAGAAGCTAACCGATTTAGTAGAAGATGGAGTATGGGTTAGAGTTTTGATTCTGGTAAAACCCCAAAAGCTGAGAGGACCTTTCAGTCCCATAAACAAGCCCAAGTTTCTTGAACACATGTTCTCATCTCATCTTTAGAAACCCATATCAGTTAAAGAAGAAGAAACAAAAATCAATACACAGAAAACAAAAAACAAGTAGTACTAGTAGTAGTTGTTTTAACAAATAACAGAAAAAGACGCCACTCTCTCTCTCTGTCTCTGTATGTATGTGCCGTTGGAAAGCAACAGTCAACAGTTGAATCAACTGTTACATAAACACCCATACCCATATTTATAAAATACAATACAATACAATAGTCATCCAATCCAATCCAATCCAATCCAATCCAATAGTATTATTATTATAGAATTGTTTAAAAGTGTGGCTTTGAAAATGGGCACCATCTCAGTCATATACACCCCTTTACATACCCGCTAAGGCAGCTTTTAATCACCACCACCACCACTGCACCGCCGTGGTTGGTCGCCGGAGAGTTGGGGTTGAAGCTAGTCTAAGTATCACTTCTAGTAGTTGTTGAGAGAGGTGGTGGTTGATATATATGGTGCGTGGGGTGAATCGCCTGTATATTGGTAAAGCGGGAGCACTGTGCTACTGCCCTGTTTGTTTTTGCATTAACACAATTTCTCTCCCACAAAATGATGTGTCCATATTTTGAGTAATGTTAAAAAATTTTAAAAAATTATTTTATTTTATTAAATATTTTATATGGGTGTGGGAATTATATAAGACCTATATAGTGTGAGTACCACACTTATATGAGATATTTGATAAAATTTTTGGAATCTCTAATATTATTGTAATATTTAATTTATATTTTTTAAAAAGGATAGAGATCCAAAAGTTCTATTAAAATTTTTATCAAATATCTCACATAAATGTGGAACCCACACCATGTGACATTTGTATAGAGTATGAGTGCCACACTTATATGAGATATTTAATAAAATTTTTGGAATCTCTAATATTATTGTAATATTTAATTTATATTTTTTAAAAAGGATAGAGATCCAAAAGTTCTATTAAAATTTTTATCAAATATCTCACATAAATGTGGAACCCACACCATGTGACATTTGGTAAAAATTTTAGATTCTCTAACCTTACTCTTCTTTTTTTTATTCCATCATTCAGAAATTAATGGGAGATAAATTGCGTAAATGAAGCATTTTTCCATTATACCCTTTTCTTTTTTTTGTTTTTTTTTTTTAAATTCAAAATAAAATAAAAAGTATGTAGATAAATTTAGGATAAATTATGTCATTAATCCTCTAGTTTAAGCAAAGTATTATTTTATTAATTGTAGTTTTTGTTTGACTAATTGAAATTTTAAGGGTTGCTATTGTAAGAGGAGTTAACTCGAGCCCACTATTTAATTGGGCCCAATTATAAAGCCCAAAAATTAGTGAGTTTGGAGAAATTATTGCCAAATGGGCCAAGTGAATTTTATTGAACAGGCCCATAAGAAAGTCAACAAATTAGGCCGAGAAAGACCTATCAAGCAAATATCTTTAAAGAGAGTCCAACAAGCCCATCTGAGAAGGCCCAGATCATACGGGCATTCCAGAAGATTAACCGTTGCTTTCAAAAGAAATGAAACCATCGAAGGAGATTCATTCTTCGAGGTATTGGCTTAGTCTTGAAAGGGTTCGGAACCACGAACCTAGAGACCTATTTGAGCTCAGACTCGAAAGGGTTCGGATCTACGAACCTAGAGATCCAAAGCGCTTGGCTTCGAACGGATTCAGACACAATTTAGAAGTCGCTCCATTAATGAGTCCCAGAACACTTGCGGACTTGGAGCTTTCCGGGATCTACATACCAGAACCGTGGGGGTAACAGAGTCTAAACCAAAGACCTGATCTTGAGGACCGTGAGTGGAGATAAATTCACTCTTCGGTTAAACTAGCCTATACCCAGGTCGATGTGGCACGATCTAGGGGGCCTTTGAGACTTGGTAATATTTGCGGCAAGGCATTCTCTTGAACTACCCTTGACCTTTCTGCAGCTAGGCATTCCTTGGGACTACTCCTGACCCCTTAGCATGATTGTGGATCATTGGTTAGGTGTAGCTAAGAAGAAGGGTTCGCCGAGAGGTTGATCACCTCTTTGGGATTTTCCTCATCCTTGGATAGGTCATCTCCTCAGACAAGGTGGTTAGAGAGAATATTCCCCATGTGCCTTGCACATGGGCCTCATCCTACATCATGAGGTGCCTATAAATAGGACTCACCCATAGGTTTACAAGGGATAGATTTTTTAGAGACATTTTTTGGAAAGAACTAATTTTTCTTCTCCATTATCTACCTTGAGAGTGAAAGTGGGAGATCCATAGGAGAGTCTTGCCATTATTCTCTCTCTAATTATTTTGCCTTCTTCGTCACTCAATCTCTTATCTCCATCATCTCTTTACTATTGTGTTTCTAGTTGCGACTGTTGAAGAATCTAAACCTCTCATCATTTCTAAAGAATTCGAATTTTCTTCAAAGATCTTCGAATTTCTAGACCACATTCTTGAATCCTCTTATACAACTATTAGCACTATAATTATTACTTTGAAGTCCCTATTTCTTTTATTTATTTTTATTACAATAATAACCTATTGGAACAATTCGTCTTGAATTCTTCAATTGGTGGTCTTTGGGTCTTCAAAACTTGGCAATGAACTTGTCTATATAAAACAGAAATTTGATACTTCAAGTTACGTTACAAAATCGCTTTTCTAAAGACAATATTTACACCTACCAAAATGTGTGCAAAAGGTTACAGCAAATTTGCCTCCAGGATACAATGAAACCTGATCTAAAGATCAAGTCCATCGGCGTCTGCACTGACGACAATAGATCAAAATACTCATGATATAATCAAGAAAACCAAGACACTGATGATCAAATCTGCAGAACTTGATTACTAGTAGAAATTGCTTAAAGAAACTCTTGATTGAAAACTCAAAATATAGAGGGAGAGAGAGTGAGATAATTGCAGGAATGAATGCTTTATGGATTTGTGGATGGAATGAAATGGCTGATTTTGTAGCCTATTTATAGGCCTTGATGTACCTGATCGAATGGTCATGTCCCTTGATCGCATCTAATCAGATCTGATCGTTGGATTGGCGATATACGGCGCAGATCATTCTTACACCGAATAGATGACTTGACTAATCACACCTGATCACGATCAAGTGCCATCTCATCTGTACGACCGCGTGCATCTCCAATCAACGACTTTGATTAAATCGCTCCAGATCAGACATACACCGTTCGATCGGTTGGTTGACTCACCGCTAACGGACGCCACGTCACTGCCATGTGAAGCTGACTGTATTCTATGTTGAATCCACGTCATCGCTCGAACCTGTCCGAAGCAAATAGGAAAGTGCCCTCATGGCACCTTGCGTCGATGCGTCCGTGCAAAATGCAAGGTGCGCTATATTCAAAGGAATATTCCATATAACACTTTATTAAGTGCTCCATATTTCCCTCTCTTTCCGATGTGGGACAAAATCCCCAAGCTTATTTCAAGCTTTCCAAAGAAAAACAAGGAAGGCTTTGAAAACACTCAAAAATGAAACTACATATTGTAAAAACCATTTTGAAAACTCCCCAACATAACCTTAAATGAAATTACTAAAAGACATGAATTACTTTGGGACATCTCATCTTACAATTAAATCTACCTGCCAACTAAATGATAATATAGGATTTATGATAGTACTCACTTCCATCACCACTCTTTTCAAATTTCTCCTTAAAACCCAGTTATTAAGGAGAGGAAAACTGGAGCCTAACCAGTATAGATGGGGCAACTCTAAGCGATGTGGAACACATTCTAACACACCTTCCTACACCACAACATATAAAAGTCGAACAAATGGCACACCAATCACAAAGACAACCAAGCTCTGATACTAAATTGAAAGCACAGCCTACACTTCTCCTTAAAACCCAAGTATTAAGGAAAAGGAAATTAGAATCTTATACCCAGCATTGATGAGACAACTCCAGGCAATGTGAGACACATTCCAACAAACCCTTTGGTGGTTAATCTTCTGGCAGCTTCTGACTGTAACTATTCGATAGTACACACTTCTTCGACAATGGCGATGAGTTAAAGTTTTTTGACAACTTCGATACCGTGAGACGAATGAAGCATCACAATATAAGCTCAAAGGAGGTTCGCAACTTGGATGATGTTCACAACTTAGAGGAGGTTGATCTTGTAATGATTTTTTTTATTTTATTTTAAAAAATGGTAAAAATGGTTTGACTTTTTTTTTAGATATTGAACTCCTGAACATATATCAAAAAATGACAACATGAGGTCGAATTAAAGGCATTAGTTCAACAACGTCTAACTAAACATTATTCATATGTTTGGCACTTTAAATTCGAACTTTTTTATTCATATGTTTGGCACTTTAAATGAAATCTTAACGCAAACTTAGATTTTGGTTATGCAATGAACTTTAATTTTATTTGTTAATTAAACTAGCAGATGCATACTTATCTTTGTTATTAAATTTTGATATGTCAAACTTGTTCATAGATATAAGATTTTGTATTTTAATAATGTTTGGTAACACAAGTCCAAACATGTACAAATTATTTGGTAACACAAGTCCGAAATCATATGGCGGAGCTAGGATTCTCTTGGTGGGAGGGGGGTCGAAAGTAAGACATTGGCAAAGTTTAAGCGATCGATTCAGTAGTGACTCAAATTTCTTGAGACATTAAGCTAAACATTAAAATGAGACTTTATCTTACTAAGCTTTTGAAAAATGCATA